ACGTTCATACCGTTTCGTATTCTTCAATCGCACGTTACGTCATCGCGGCCTCTAGGGGGAGATTGGTGCCATTTAACAAAAGACTTCTCATTAGCTGWTCCATTGTTAAGAGCACCAYAATGGCCGCCATGCTTTTGTCTTTTAACTCTCTTAGGAATGCTTGTAACCCACCAATTGCTAAAGTGTATTATYATTATTWTYCCCCCAGCGCAATAATATTGATGCCAACGTTTCACGAGGACATGGCAAAGTACGACCAAACATTTACGGAGTACTACCTGCACGAAAGGTTATTAGTTTTAGTAATATCTATAATTGATATATTTCATCACTAGTTTTTCCCGACAATATCGAGATTTTTGTTACTCTCATCACGTACTATAACACCATCACTACCACCTACACCACCATCACCATCACCATTAGCACAACCATCACCACCACCATTACCATTACCATCCCCACCACCATCACCATCACCATCACCACCACCACCACATCACAACCACCATCACCATCACCACCCCCATTACACAAGGTAGATAAATCTTATAAAAGGATACCTAAAACAGAAAGCATGACCGTTGAATAAAAATAATTGCCACACTCACAATTGTCGCTAATAAGCTACACTGATGTTCACATAAACCATATATATGAACTCTATTTTTCATGCTAATCGAGACACTTTAGTCMAAATAAGTGGAAGATGAAACATGAGCGAAACAAAAATCGTTCATAAACAACCGGCGATAATTATGGGACGCCTTTATAATYATTATTTGATAACCTAACTATATTTTCAATAGAATTCCAAGGATTAAGCTAATTAGAAGAACGTACGAAGAGGTGCACAAAACCGCTAAACTAGTTGACAAGAAGCTTTTCGTGTAAGTATGTATGAGAAAGAGACGAGCAGTCAAAAAGTTGTTGGTGTTCAAAGTCAGGACTTATGGACTTTATTGAAATTTAAAACTTCCTATATTGAAAGCCTGTTTGAAATTCTTAAGACAAATTTGACTAAAACGCCTAGCAGTGACCTTATAGTTTAACAAGATTTGATAAAAATTCTAAAGACTCGAAAATATGATCATGA